TCACAAGAAGCCCTAAGAGATCTGCTAATCGGCAATCACTTGCCCTAGGAATATCCAAGGGAAGTCTCCACAGAATTCTGCATAAAGATTTAAAATTTCACCCCTATAAATACCAAATGGCGCATCACCTCAGTGATACAGATAAAGAAGCGAGGTTGACATTTTGTCAAGAATTTTTAAATCAGCACCATGGAGGAATACATAATTTGCTAATGAGCGACGAAGCAAATTTTCATTTGGACGGTGTTGTTAACAAGCAAAACTTTAGGTACTGGGGAGCAGAAAATCCTCACGAACTGTTTACCAAAAACCTCCACAGTCTAAAAGTCGTTGTGTGGTGTGGTGTAGCATCATTTGGAATTATCGGTCCTTATTTTTTTGAGGATGAAAATAACCGTCCTGTTACAGTTAATTCCGAGCGCTACATAAACATGTTGCAAACGTTTCTTATCCCCGAACTAACTAGACGGGGACTACTAAATGGTGCCATATTATTCCAACAAGATGGAGCTACAGCTCACACAGCCAGAAACACTATGAGGATTTTGCGAGATTTTTTTGATGGCCGTATAATTTCCCGATTTGGAAATTTGAATTGGCCCCCGAGATCTCCCGATTTAACGGCCCCAGATTTTTTTCTCTGGGGATACCTGAAGCAAAAAGTTTATGCAAGTCGTCCAGCAACAATTCTGGAGTTGAAAGAGCAGATTCAAAATAAAATTGCAGAAATAAATGGAGATTTGCTGCGTCGAGTGATGCAAAATTTTGAACTTAGAATTCAAAATTGCATTGAAGTGGAAGGAGGGCATTTGGAAGACATGATCTTTAAAAATTGACTTATTATTTATTTTCGTTATAAATCCCATAAAATTTAGCTACATATTAGTCCATTAAAAAGTTAATTTACTTTGATCAGAAAGTTTTTATTCGACTTTTAAACTGCATAGTCTAATTATATGGGGATCCCTGTACAAGATAAATTAAAAATAAGTCAAAAATGTTAAAGATTCCCTGTACCTAAATCTAACCGTTTTCAAGATAATTGTCATTTTACAAAAAAATTGAGAAATGCAAGCGTTTTGAAAATTCCTTACATCTTTTTTCGTTCTGGGAGCTTTCACTTGCTTTTCGCAATACACAAAGAACATAAGATGCACTATCTTCAGCTATCAAAATTACCTGAGAAGAATTATACTCATTTTTCACGTTACATTTTGAAAACCTGAAACCGACAAAACTTTTTAAATTCAGATGGAACACCCTGTATTTTTCTGCATCATATTATAGAAAATCAAACTGTCTTTTCACCAATATAGGCATTGTAGGGGTTTCAGTTTAAATTTTCTCAGATATTTGCGGTTTACTTACATTTTCAAGAATATTACGTTAAAATATCAATAAATGTGAAAAGCAAATATTAGTATTGTCATTCAGTATTCTACAAGTATCAAGTATTTTCTCGACAAGAAAAATGCAGAATAATTATTATAATGAAGATATTTAGAATTTATGTTATATCCATGGGACGGACATAAATCAGTATTAGCTGCATTTCTATGATTTGGTATTTTGCAAAATTTCAAGAATTAGATGCGAATGAAACTCTGCCATCTACATACAATAGCGTTCTTTGTAGAACATTGATGTATTTTTTTCATGATTGCATTAATAAAGTGTGTTGTTTCAAGTTTGTTGCATCTTTTAAATAATGAGGGGGTACCTATATTTATACAAAAGTAATACCTATAATAAAACTTCCTTCCACTGGCATACTATTATTAGCAACTGCAAATACAATAAAGAGCAAGTAAGCATCCTTTCATTAAGAAAACAATGGAACGTAAAGTAACCAAAATTTAAATTATAGTTTCCTCTCAACTTCGTTCCAAATATCATAAAATTATAATAATGCATTTTTTACTAGTTATTTAAAATTATCTTATTTACCTATTGTCTTTGATATTCTTAAAAAACTTTTACGACATTAAAAATTAGAGAAAAATTCTAAGAAAACCAACCGAAATTATTTCATTAATTGTTCTGTTTCAGTTGCAAAATACCAAATCATAGAAATACAGCTAATAATTTTGATTCACGGTGAATGTTCCATGGATATAAAAAAAAATCAAAACATCTTCATTAGAATAATTATTTTGCATTTTTCTTGTCGAGCAAATACTGAATGACAGTACCAATATTTGCCTTTCAAGGCAAATGGATTGGATTTTCTATAATATGATGCAGAAAGATGTGTGTGTGTGTGTTCCATTTGAATTTAAACAGTTTTGTCGTTTTCAGAATGTAACGTGAAAAATGGGCCCTTAGTATAATTTTGTTCAGGTAATTTTGATAGCGGAAAGTAGTGCATCTTATGTTTTGTTATTCCGAAAAGCAAGTGAAAGCTCCCAGAACGAAAAAAATATAAGGAATTTTCAAAACGCTTGCATCTGTCAAAATTTTTGTAAAAA